GCGCCGAAATTCGGTACCGATCGGCGCTGGTTGTCGGTAAGCAGGAAACCAGCTTCCACTGTGTTTTCGCCCGTACGCTGGGAAGGCTTCTGAAGATAGACGCGCATTAATGTCAATTACTTGCATAGTTTGTTTTACACTTTAGTTATATATTTAAAATTTGAAAACTGATCAGAAGAATTTTTAAAAGCTATTATCTTATTACTTTTAGCACTGTTATAAATACTTCATTCTCAAGAATGTCATGCTGTAGATCCTCAAGTAAAAGTCTGACACTCGGTGGGGATTGAGTGGAGATGAACTACATGGCTACGAGTTGAAGATTGCCCATCTTTAACTCTCAAGATAAAAAGATTACGTTAGAACGGAAAAGACTGGGTTGTTTAGTTCAGTTACTCTGTCAGGCAAATGAGTAACTGTCATGGGTGAAATTGAAGTGATTTCGTTGTTTAATTAACAAATCAAACTAAATAAATAAATTAAGCAACAAAGAACAGAAGACTTACGAGGACTATTCCCTCGAAACCAAGTACAGAACTGATTACCTGCTCTTCCCGAACGATCCACTTTGACCGAGAGGTCAAACATATGCCCATTCATCAGTGGTGTAGCATTTAAAAGGGACAAATTTAGAACATGTACAATCAGATCAACAATGATTTTCTTCATATTAGTTGATGAGCTATTCTATCAAACACCTACCAATTCGACAGGTGGGCGAATTCGACAGTCGTTAATGTTAAAGTGAAAGCAAGCTGATATCTGAGGAAAACTTCATCTAAAAAAAACCTGTTTCGGCTGTAATTTACATGATGTTTTGAATCTCTGTTACAGTTGAATATTTCATGTTACTACATTTCTATTCGATCAAATGTTTAAATTCTACGAGCACCTTTTTTGTATGTTTATGTGCCCCTATACGGCTCCTCCTCCATCCTCGGGATAAAGTTTTTGTTAGAAGGCTATGAACTTTATTGATTGTGGTGGTTTGGTCCACTTACACATATTTCGTTATCCAAACTACCCATTTATTTTGTTATAAAATGCACATATGGTACAATCAGTATGATGCCAACTTTTACGATTGAGATTGATACGGTCCTGCATTAGACCTTCCCTCTCACATATTAAATCTGAGCTGCTTATATTAGTCTTTGGCGTTTGAGAAACAATAATCATCTTAGCAAACAGTGCGTGGTGAGTTGCGTCATGTACTGTTTCATAAATTTCGCATTTGTTTTGCTAAGTACGTGAGTCGCTGTAATTATCTGTGCTTGATTCATCATTCATTGTTTTTCAACGGGAAGATGAAATAAGTGATGCCCAATTAGAGCTTTATTTATAACCAGCGATAATAACGGTTTTTCTGAAAAAATCCATCAGCAAAATGTTTCAAACGATGTTGGTCTTAGCCGAGGAAGTATTGGTTTCGATGAGTATCAAAAAATACCAATTTCCTAAAGGGTTTCGGGGCTTACAATCATTTTGTTGTTTAGGAGTAAAATTATTTAGAGTAAACATATTTGTGGAATTGAAAAATATTCCTATAACTTGAATGCTTTTTACCAGTAGCTTATAAAATTAAGGTATTTTATCTCTATTCAGAGTAATTTAAGAAAAAACTAATGAACTGATTTCAAAATTAAGGTTAGTTCTTTTTATTAATGCCATGTACCTTATTTAATAGAACATGTAGCGCTAAACATTCTTGTCTCAGCATTTAGTAATTTACATCACGAAAACTTCAGTATGTCTTAGGTTTTTAAGGTACAGAAACTGTCGTCAATGCCTCAACAGTTTTCTGCAATATTAGGTGTACCGGAAAATGATGCCCGTTTTGATACCAACAGGTATGTGCATCGTTTTATGACTATAACGAAAATGGATCCAACACGAAAGAGGTACTATCAAACTATCTAGAAATTTATTAAGAGTGTTTAGTGTTCTTGCAGAACGTGTAGAAGGTGCTTCGATGAATTTCACACCGTGAATGGCCTACTTTGATCGCCATGATGCTGCCAGGAGCATGTTAAATCACTTTCTTTTGACAATATCAGGGAGGCCCATTTCGGACCATTTTTGGGCATTATACTTCCCACTTCAGTTGGCCCAACTATTGAAATCTTAGTTTTTTCCTTATCAAACACAAATAATAAAAATGTAGCAGGGTGTTATATAGTATATATAGTAGAAAACACCAACTTTATCACTCCCTAATCAAATTTGCAGCATAAAAATAACACATGTTGCAATTACAGCATATCAACCTATTTTCATTTCAATGCATAGGTGGCTGTGAAAAATAAAAGCCATGACAATTGTTTTTATTAATCACAGCTGTCAGAATACGTTTAAAATAGTTTTGGGTAGTTAAAGTTTTCAAAATGGGTAGAGGAAACGTTATTATTGAGAAAATTATGTTACTGATAATTAAATCTTTTTATTCTGGGAAATCAAACTCAGAAATTGCAACTTTGTTAGACTTATCGCGGTACAGTGTGAGAAATATTGTTAGAAGATATAACGTAACTGGTTCAGTTATTATTAAGCCACGATATGTGAAAAAAAGTAATATCACAAATGCCGACCAAAGAGCATTAAGAAGAATAATCGTGAAAAACAGGCGTGCCAATTATTTACAATTAAGTGCTCTGTGGAGTGACGCTGTTGGAAGGAGAATTTCGAGGTCCACAACTCATAGAGAGGCCCACAAACTGGGATTTAGCACTTGCAATGTAAGTTTTCTTATAAAAAAAGTGAAGTAAAAACCCTAAAGCTGCACAACTTGTTTATAGGCCAAAGAAAAGCCACTATTAACTGCACTGCAAAAGAAAAATCGGCTTAGGTGGGCTAAAGAACAATACAATGGAGTGATGAGGCCCGATTCGAAGTTTGTGTTGATGACAGTCGCAGTAGAGTTATTTGCAAAAAAAATGAAGCATTCCATGTTGACTATCTGAAGAGAAAAGTGAAATTTCCAGCATCCATTATGGTCTGGGGCAGTATGTCATCAAAAGGAGTAGGAAAACTTCATTTTATTGATGGAAATGTGGATACACACAGATATTTGGCAAGTTTAGAAGAATCGCTTTTACCAGTGATGGAAGAATCTTTGACATCCGGCCAAGATTTGGTGTTTCAGCAAGATGGTGCAGCGTGCCATACCTCAAAAAAGGCTATAAAATGGATGGAAGAAGATAATGTACCACTTTTGAAATGGGTTTCTAGCAGTCCAGATCTGTCACCTATTGAAACTTTGTGGCATGAGATGAAAAAGGTTCTACGACAACATCCTGCTCGTACAATCACCGAACTGAGACAAAAGCTTCAAGAAATATGGGATTGTTTTACACCAAATTTTTGCCAAAACTTGGTTAACACTATGCCCTAAAGAATTTCAGCCGTAATAAAAAATAAAGGTGATGTTACCCAATGGTAATCTTTCAATTGTTGCTTTGTTAACTTCGCGCATTTATTCGCACATTGTTTATTTGTTCAGATGTTCTATTAGTTATAGGTCTAAGTGATATCAAATATGTATTTTTTACGACTAGAATATATCTATCAGTTCAATGAGGAGAACTTGTATAACTGATTCTTGACATGCACGTATATGCTGGCTCCCAGCAGAAACGAAACTTTCACGGATACGCTGATAACAGGGGATGAACAGTGAAACACGTATGAGAATGTAAGGAAAACGGCATATTGTGAACCGATAAAACCTATTTCCCCCATTTTAGCCTTAGCAAAAATATGAAGGATCGATACAAAATGAACTCGTGAAACCGAATGACAATTCGGAGAAGCATTGTCAGCAATTAGATAAGTCCTCACTCCAAGAAACGACGATCTAATCAGTAGAAAGAACAATATACCAGCAAAAATTTGCGTCAAGTAGGTTGACTCTGCACCTCTTACGTAACACCGTCCTCAGTTCATAAAGGATTAAGTTCAGCGCAATTTAAATCTTCTGAGAAAAAAGTCAGTTACGAACATGTACAACAGAGAAATGAAACGGATTAAGTCTGTCAAATAGGCCTATACAATTAGCTGTTAGACATTATTGTTTTTTAAGCTGCAGTACGGATAGATTACTTAGCCGGACTGGTTACGCACATCGAAAACATTTCTATAACATTCTAAGCTTTAAAGGCAAATGTACGAAGAACTCTACATATGCGTGAAATGTGACTAATAGGTGCATGGAATGACAGCGATTGGGAGCGTATAAATATACAAATATCAAAATATTTTCATACACTGTCCTCCACCCTCTACATACCCTAATTTCAACCCCTACAAATTTTTTTCTGGAAATATCTGAAACGTCAAAAAACGACGCTTGAGAAATTTTTTATTTTCTCCACCTTTGGCTTTTTTTCCGCAACCATTGAACCCAAAACTACAGTTTTTTCGTCCTTAGCATGGCCACCTTGTGTGAAAATTTCATAAAAATTCGAGCAGTACTTCTCAAGTTATAGACACGCCAAGGATTAGCGCATATACAAACAGACATACCTCTGGAAATGGATGACATGGTTTTCTGAAATGTACATGTCATATAATATCCAAAATACACAATATCTCATTTTCGAAAGTTTTCTCTATTACCCAGTGGCGTAGTAAGTAAAAATCGCACAGCTAGGAAGCTCTATCACATCCCCCATACTCTCCAGAACTGACACCCTTCGCGTATCATTTTTGTCGTTACGAGATTTTCTGTAGGTTAAAAAAATAAAAAACGAAGGCGATATCCAGCAAGCATCAATTTCGCGAGCAGAAATAATACGCGTTATGAAAATTGAATATATACATTGCCATCACGTTGGCAATAAAAACAATGAAACATATTATTCGAAAAGTTTATCCAAGGTATGAAAAAACTTATTACAACCTAAAACAGACGGAACTTTCCGTAGACCCAACAATCTTATGACAAACTTTTCTCAAAAAATTATTTCTGTTTCAGCTTGCCAGAAGATACCAGACGTGAACAGAAAACCAAAATCACCTTCACAAATGGTAAGTCTACAAAAATATGTATCTTTCTATTGTACTTCTTTCATGCGGCAACACCATGAATCACAGCACAGAACATATGATATGCGGCACGACCATATGTAGCATAGAGGAAGGAAATAAAAAGTAGAGTACCTTGATACTCGTAAATATCCAACCATCTGCTTAATCTCAAAGCTAGTTTATAAACCTTTTCCTATTTATCAAATGATGCTTCCGCACAGCAGTCACTTTATTTGTTACATCTTCTGCGTGAAGCGGTTCTATTCTTCATGTTTATGAACTACGACGGTGCAACACGTGAGGAATATTTAAAAAATGTAAAGTTGCGTGTTTGTATTAGCTTCCGTAATCGTTATCAGGTGGCTCATCCAAATTCTCAACCGTCAAAAAAGAATTGAGACTCAATCCTAACACCTACCAACCAACTCTGGTGTTTGATTGGCTTGGCCAAGATGCCGCCGCGTACTAAATCTGCAAGAAGAGACCTGTCAGGCTCCTGCTTCTTGTTCTTACTTGGTCAAGTTATGTGCAATATTGGTGGGTAAACTGCTCCTTTGCTTTTTAGGTATCGGAACTGTGGAACGATCTGTCAGAATTGCTTCCCCAGGTCTACTTATCCCACTTATTGGACTCTATTGTCTGGCTGAATCAAACTACATATGTTTTAATTCCTACGACGTTTCGGCCATTGCGATCGACTTTTCAAGTACAATGACCTTGAGAGGGGCCACCACCGAGGTGGTTTGATTCGGTCAGACAATAAGGTCCTATGAACATGAAAAGCACATGAGTTACATTTTTCTAGTTAATATGAACAAATAACACTCCTTAAAGACATAATTAGCAAATTGGGTAAAAGATTCACTTTTTCGTTTTTCCTAATATTACCGCCTACTGGAGTAGATTTAAAGATCTAATCTTAATTGAAACAATGAAAAGTTCGGCGAGATGGAAACAACTGGTATAAATGCGGGGAGCATCAAAGTAAATCCAACGACCCCAAACACCCCATAATCCCTGGTCAGCTGTGATGACCAAGATCTGGTACATTTTGCGTATACAAATAAATATGTTTCAGAAGTTATACCCTAAGTCCACCACCTAAGGGGGGCTAAAAAGTTAAATCTTGACAAATGAGAGTAAATGGTCACTTAATAAAAAGTTGATGTGGTGTTGTTTGGAATTCGATGACAATGTGATGAATGAACTGCTCTTTCTCGGACTGTAAGTTCTTTGATTCACGACGTCTCGATTGATGTGATCTCCAATCGTCAGTTCACCTAATGACGACTAAAAATCACATCAATCGAAACGTTGTGAACCAAAAAACCTTATAGATAATGGGAGTCTGAGAAACAGCATCTCAATTGATAAATCTTGTCAAGGAGGTGTTACCAAGAGAAGACACATCTACGAGCTCAAACAACTAAATATTTGAACACCTTCACATTTTGTACGAATTGTCCTATAAAATAACTGAACAAGATTGTAAACTTGTACCGAAAAATTGTATTGGTAGTATATACTCGTACAAATTGTGGCATATTTTCAATAGTATCATCTGTTTTCCTTGATCATTAATTTTAATGAAAAGAAAAAAAAACTAATCTTTACAAAAATATATGCCAACTAAATATTCAGGCACTACAAAATTTAACTAAACTAATAACTTGTTACGTCGCCTTTCGCCTTAGTTACCGCCTGAATTCTGGCCGGCATGGTCTTAACTAATGCTTGGCAGTTTTCTTGTGTAAGTGCATTCTATATTTCTTGCAATTTCACACGCAGTTCAGGAATTGTTCTCTGATGACTGTTTCTCAAATGCTGTTTCATTTTATGAGAGACCGTCTCCACATTTAAATCGGGGCTACTAGCAGGCCAAGAGGGGACATGTACGTTATGATCCCCCAACCATTTTTTGTGCTTTTAGCAGTGTGGCATGATGCGCCTTCATGCTGATAAATACAGTCTCCGTCAGGATACAAGTCTACTATGGTAACAAGGATTTCTTGATATTTAGCTGTATTCGCTGTGCCATCCATAAAATGAAGATAACCCCATTCAAGTTGTAGTCATACAGACCCACACCATGATACCTTTGGGAAATTTTACTATATGTTTAATAAAGTCTACGCATACATCGAATTTGGCCTCGTCACTAAATATGACCTTGTTCCAGTACTCGTACGTCCAAGAGCGCTTTGATTTTGCCCAAATTAAGCGTATTTTTTTGACTTCAGTTAGAATCGGTTTTTCTTCAGCCTAATTAAGAAAAAACATTTTTTCATTGCTTTGCTATTATAATGCATACCTTATAAAATTTGAGTCCAGATTTACGAATGTATTTTCGACAGCATTTTTATGAAAGCTGCATCCCACACTTTGTGTTCAACAGAGTGGTAATTTCCCTTAGAGTATTTTGCCTACCCGATTTACAGATTTTGACCAAAGCTCTTCCATTCCGTTTAGTTACGATCCTCGGTCGGCCTAGACTTTTACCGCGTACATCAGTACTTGCAGTTTCCCTATACTTTTTTATAGTTTCCGAAACTAGATTTATGGATACAAGATCACTTGATATTTCGCGTTTTGACTTTCCTTTGCAAAACTGCAGAATATTAATTTGCCTCACTTTCTGATTTGTGGCTATACTCGTACCATTTTTGCATACATGTAACTTAGCAAGAAGAAAATATAATTTCCAAATACATACAATTTACAACGATGTTGACATTCAGTATTATGACACATGTATGTTTCATGACCTTTCCGAACATATAGTTTTTCATCATATTTCGAGATATTTTAGTGATTCTGTTTGTTATGAAGTAATACATTTGAAAACAGAGTTGCCGTCATTGAAAGTAGATTTTGAGAAAGCAGCAGTTAATTTATGGATCCATTTGTACAAAATTTAAAGGTGTCCGAATATTTAATTGTTTGGGCTCGAACGATTGAATGTGGAGGTTATATTATATTAAAAAAGTATTTATCTAATTTTTGTTGCCCAAAAAAAATTGAACCGAATACCGCCCAGATCGAACCCCATCTATTAAGCATTTATCCAATGCAAATACCTAAGAAGGCATTTTTGTTGGCCCTGACGTATGGAAGTTTATGCAAGACGTGCATGTTCTGCATCCTCATACGGACTTCTTTTCTGAGAATCTTGATGCAGTAAGTAAAGAAGAAGGTGAACGGTTCCACCAAGATATTAAGGCTATATAGAGCATGAATCAGGCAGACAAACAAACCTGTATTTTAATTTCACATACATTGTCTTTAAAAAAGAAGATGAAAAGTTAAATTTTGCAGCCGTGTGTAATCAACAAATACGTTATATTGATATATACGTTAGACAGAGTTTAATCACCTATACTAGGTACTCTGCTATAAATTCAACACTATTCGGTATTGATGATAAACTTTTAAACAGTATAATGCTAGTCAAACTGGAATAACTGACTTCTTACAATAGATCTTGTCAGAATATTGTCACCATAAGAGCAAAAGAATGGCAGTACGACCGCTACTCCGTGTACAGAGCTTGAACGGATTGTAATTGGATTTAAAGCCGTGGCTTGCCCATTTGTCTGGCCCAGATCGCGGCAGTATCATGAAGAAGAGATCGGCTATCCAAAGGGGGTGTTTTTCAAATTGGCAGACGACCCCTCCATTTCAATCGCCAATAACCCCCTCCCTCCCGAAGCATACATATTACTGAACATGAATCCTGAGCTCCTATCCTACAGCACCTTTTTGAGTTGGTAATTTCAAATTCATAATTTGGAGCCCCAGAAAAAGGATGTTTCCTAGATGCCCTCTGAAAAAACCTAAAAAAAAAATAATTAACCAAATCGCGTGATATAGATACGATTTGCTCTGTCACACGTTAATATGACGAGGAATCGTAGTCTCGTTGACGCTAACGTTAAATCAAAGTTTACCACATTTTGCTTTGTTGTACTCTATCGTCCTTAATTTCAGTTTGCCGCTCCTGTTACTCTGCCATCGCCTACTGGCACATAACTTTTGGCAGAAACGGGAAAAGTCACCCTGTATGACGCTACTGAAGCAGCCTTAGATATACTTGAGATACCTTTAGTCCGTATCTATAATTAATTGCGACTGTCATTGAAAAAGAACAGTCAGCCGTAACATTCTGATTTAGAATGCTCCCATTTTTTAAACGTTGCCCTGTAATTCTGCGCTCAGTTATAGATTAACTTTGTGATTGATAGCGATTGATTACTTTGCATGGGACAATGGAAGACATATACCCCATAGGCGTCCTTTCTTCTGGGCGCTTTGAGTTTGAATTGAAAAGGAGCAAGGATTTATCCAGAACAAAAATATAATATTGTACATGGACCAGCCTGGCAGCATTTTTCATTTTTCCGATCTAAGAAAGTAGGAAGGTGGACAAAACGTAGCTTGATGGGAGGTCGTACGTCTGAATTTCAGATTCGTTAAATAAATCACTTTCAACCCATTACAGACCTGTTGTGGCTTACTACAACTTGTCAGTACGAAGGAAGCTTTAAATAAATAACGAATGCAACGGGGCTATTCCCAGGGGTCGGTCTTAGTTCCAACATTGTTTCTATTACGTCGTTGATATATCATCTCTGCTGTCCGATCAATCCGATTCCGAGCTTTGCTGGTGACAGCACTTTACACACTGGCATTGAGTGGACTAGCAGATCTCTGCTAAGTAGCTCTGAGAGGAGATCTGTTCTTCATTACTGCTCCTCCCAAAACACAGTACTGTACATTGACTTACAAGAAGCACCCTAGCGGCCGATGATTTGCCGAGTTTTGGCAAAGAATCATTCGCTCCAGCTGTTCGGAGTCCACATCACCGAAAACTTGATTTAGCATGAAAGCATCTCGTCAGTCGCAACAACTGCTGGAAAAATTTTAGGACTAAGAATTACTTTTCTCGAAATGACTTCCTCACTCTATACAGTATATTCAGATAAGAGATAGACCGGACATAAACAA